TTGGGGGGGGGGGGGAGGAAGAGGAAGGTTAAAAGAGAAGTTGCCATTTGCTACTTAACTGAAGCTAGAACATCTCTGCTTCACAGGGCAGGAGACCCAATACAGAAATAGGTTGTAGTTGACCAATCAGCCCTCCTAACCTTGTTTTCCTTCCCACAGCCACCCTGCAATGTTTGCCTCCACCCTTTAGAGAACTGAACTTGATTTTGCCCGTTTCTCGCACATACACCTACCCTGCTAGATAGGGCTTCTTTTTGCTGCCTTCCCTGATCTGATGGGGAATTTCTTTCATGTAACTTAGCTAGGCAGTGCCTGGGGACTCAGTGCTTCTAAACGAAGCAGCATGAACCAGTATTTTATGCAATTGCTAGGGCAAGTAATGCCTCTTGAGGTGCAAAGCATGAAGAAAGGAGAAAGGGGCAACTTAGAATCTTTTTACTCTGTTAACTGCTGCTGGGAGGAGTTGGGAGGAGAGCTTGTAAAAATACTTAAAAAAATGAGTTAAGAAACTTTCTTAAGTTTTTAGGTTAGATGAGTGTGGGTGAAACAACTGCCATGTATTAGGATTAGGAATCTAGAGTGCAGATATGTGAGGACAAAGAGTGAAGGGGAAGAGCACAATGTTGTCAATCTCCTGAATTTTTAAAGAGAAGTTACCATGTAGCATATGCTGACACATACATCATGAATAATTTAGGGTGTGGACAGTGGAGAGGGCAGCCAGCTGTACCTTCTGAGCCAGCTGCAGCTAACTGATAAGCTCTTCTAGAAGAGTTGTGCTAGGAGGAAGTAGCAGTAATCATAGTTTGTGGTTACAAGATTATGGGTCATTGCCGGGAAGCTGGAAGGATAAACAGTGGATCAGCATCCTTGGTACTAAGAGAACACAACAAAACAGAAGAGGTCTTGAAAAATCTCCAAGTTAAAATTGCCACCAAGTTGTTCACTAAACAATGAGTGACTCTTTCCAGTCATGCAGTGGCTTTCTCATGTCAGCATTAAGCTGTCTGCTGTTAACTGTCAAAGCAGGAGATGGGAGTGGGAAGCTTAGTTGTACCCTTCTGTCCTCCAAGTAAACCTTCATGGTTGTGACCAGGTATGGAAGACTCCAAAGTGAATATTGAAGAAAAACTGTTATTTGTCAACTTGCTAGGCATATTGAACTACATCATTAGACTAAATTGCCTAAATTTTTTTTAAATAGTTTTAAGTATTTTTTTGGTGTGATTGAATTTCCTCAGGGCATAGTTCCAGGCCTTTAAAACTGTATTTGTCAATATGATCACTGCTGATAAACAGTATTCAAAAAATGCTAAGAGAATCAACATAATAGAACCTTTATTGACAGGTAAGTTTTCAAGATGATTTTGCATCTTAAACTTTGTAAGTGCTTAATAACCTTTTGGAGTCATGACAGCTTCCTGTGGTGAAGAGCCATACCTTTGGAAATGATTGTTTGCTGAATGCTGTTTATTTTGCTAGTATGTAAAAGTACCGAAAACTTAGGTGGCTGCTCACTCTTTAACTCACTAATAATTAAAACTTTAAATACCTTCAGAACATTGTGGCACTTTCGTGAAATATTCTATAGACATCAAAATGCATGCTGAGTATTTATATACAAAGGGTTAACTGAAGTTATAGTGTAGCTTTCCTCCTTTCAGTAGATCTATACCAGTTCAGACTAGCTAAAGGTCTTTACACTTGCTGAAACAATCTTGGAGGATTCCAGGCAGTGATCTCTTGCGGTTTTTAGATCCTTTCTTACAGGCTGCCGTTGCCTTTGTGCCTACCTGCAGCCCTAGTGGTGAAAAAACAGAGCTCTTCCATGGATCTGTGACACTTGTAGCAGCTATCAAAGGTATAGGCAATAATTTGAGCACCAGATTATTTGGATCCACTGGGCTAAGAATTTAGCTGTAAACAAAATGAGTTGTGAGTAGTATCTTAACGTAGCCACTCGCTGAAGAGGTTGGGGCTCTTCTTTCACCAAGGACTGAGCTGAAGAGACAAGGTTCTTTTCAAATTCCTAAGGCTCTTTATTATGCCTCTAGCCATAAAACTACTGCCTGCCTTCCCTGCTTCCCGTGCAATTATCAAAATACTAAAATTTTGACTAGTACCAAAACAAGAAATTTGTAGTCAGATAGTACAAGAGTATGACAGGACACGAGGAAATGGAATGAAGCTGCATCAGAAGTTCAGACTGGACATTAGGAAAAGGTTCTTCACTGAGAGGGTGGCTGGTTTCTGGAACAGGCTCCCCAGGGAAGTTATGGCACCAAGCCTGTCAGAGTTCAGGGAGCGTCTGGATGACACTCTTAGTCATATGGTTTAGTTTTAGGTAGTCCTGTGAGGAGCAGGGAGTTGGACTCGATGATCCTTATGGGTCCCTTCCAACTTGAGATAGTCTATGATCCTTTGTACTCCTTATTCTCTTTGTTTGCTGCAGCAGTCTTTGTTACAATGCAAATTGAACGTGTAATGCCTTTTTTACAGATGGGTGTGTATAAAGTAGTATTTTTAGTGCTGTTTATGTCCTAAGTAATTTGGAAAAAAAACCCCAGAGCCCATATTAAAGTATGTCTGCTTGATGAATGTGTATGAGTCAATTTCTGTAACTTACTCCTGAGACATTTGTACCAGTGCAGTGAGCCATGTGGCATGTAGCATCCTGGACTGCGTGAGGATGTAGTTCTGTTAGTAAGGGGCTTGCACTGGAATCGTTCGGACAAGTGAGGATTTTCTCATGTGTAGGCAGGCTCTTGGCTTATGCTGTTGCATAAGTGGGGCTTGAGTTGATTCAGTGGGGGGCTTCATTGATTAAGAATTCTGGCAATTCTTGGAGGTGCTGAAATAATCTTTCAAGAGGGGAAAAAAGTGTTTCTTGAGTACCCACAGCTTTCAGTAAAGTTATTTTGAATATTCCCTGGTGCTTGCGTTAGGGTGACTTTTGCAGAAATGAATGGACAGAGTTTGTCCTAGTGCTGAAGCCAGGTGCATTACCCCCACTAAAGGTTTGAGAAACAGAGGTCCTGACCTGCCCCAGTGGTTTGTCTGAAGTGACTGAGCTAGAAAAAGAAATGCAGCTCCCAGGTGTTTTGGCAACTCCAAATCCATTTAAGTTTACTCATCCAATTTATCAGCTATAAATCTTTGTTGACATTCTCATAATACTCACCTGCACGGAAAACATTCATTAAAACAGTAGGCTGGATATATGTTTCATACTTAGCGTAATCTGTTTGGTATGTCCTGCACTCAGCTGGCAAAATGCCAAGAGAAGTACACAGTGTTAGTAAGACTCAGTGAAGCCTCTCAAACTTCCGTCATGGGAGAAACAGTTTGTTACCTGTGATACCCACGTTTTGAGGGATTTAATTTTAGGCATTTAGGGCCAAATCATACATTGTATTGTGGTCACAGGTGACTGTCTAGTTTTAGACCTTTAAGAAAGGCTAAGCAAGCTGTTTCATAATGTCTCCATATGTATGACTGCTTTCCTGTAAGTGCCAGAGAATCAGTTTTGATTCTAGATACATTTTAAGTAAGTTTTAATGAGAGTTCATGGGGAGCTTGGACAGCACCATACCTAGTCGTAAGACAGTGGCTTTGCTGCTCATAAGACAAAGGGTAAATAACAATGGTCAGTGTTACATAATCTTATAAATAGATTAGGATTGTTTCAAAATTGTTTATAAATTGAAGAGAATAAAAGCTATGGGAATTCCACCTTCTAAAGAACTTGTCTTTAGGAATCTGGTCATGCTGGCTTTTAAGATCCTTGCGCTTTTTGTGTCTGTGCTATGGAAGGTGGTGACCTGAAACCTAAATCCTGTGGTTTGAGCTCATCTCAAAACAAGATGTTATGTAGAGGTATAAATACAGGCTTTTGCCCCAGCATACCTGATGAAGTTTAAGGGTATACTCAAGGTATCGCCTGCCTTTCTGCTTATGCAATTTTAAAATTATTATTACCTATTTTTTGCTTTTTCCCCTCCATGTAGTATTTGCCTGGAGCAGTTGCTTCCCTTCCACATACTTATTTTTAATTACTTGTGATTGTTAGTGTTGAGTAATTCTGTTTGCTAAGGAAATCCCCTTGCAATGACCTGCAGACTTTACAATAATTCTGAAAGAAACTTTAGGCCTACCATGTAGATTGTCATTTGTATTTTGCTTGTGATAACCTAGTACAACGTTCTCTTCTAGTGATGTATTAAATGTCCTCATCTAAAAGCAATGTTAATTTATTTCCTCATTTTATTTTTAACATCCTTTTTGGATGGAATTCGAGATAAATATAGAAAAATGCCTGAAACATGTTCTTTCTGTCTGTCTTTTACAAATCTATAGCTGGAGGGCTCCCTGCTCCATACTGCCTTTACGCCAGCCCAGAGAGTAACTATTTTGCATAGCAGTTCTATGTTTTGCAGAGGCAGTCATGAAACAGAGGACAGGCATTATGTTGAGAAGCTGTAGGGCTTTCATACAGATGTGCTGTGCTGTCTGAAGGTATTTACAGTCATGAGAACACCAGTCCAGTTTTACACCAGTATTTGTCCAACATGTCTGCATTGATATTGCTGCATCTATGCAAAACTCCCCAAAGTAGATGATTCTTTAGTTGTTTTGCATCTTTGACAAATGGTCTGTGGTGGTGGTATCCGCAGTGGTGTACGGTTACCAAAAGAGGTAGCAAGCCCAGATATGGACTGGCGTGAACACAAGTCCTGTTTTGCTTCAGAGGTGGTAACCTTCAGCAGAAGAATGGTACGGGGTGGACAGGTGGGGGCAGTAATATCTTAAAAGTACTGCAGCCAAATCTGTGAGAACCTGTTTGTTTAAAACCTTTGCATAAACTCATTGAACATGAATTTGAAAGAGAAAACAGCAGCAGCCTGTTGTGATGATAGAGATTGCATAGCAATTGGAAACAAAAGACTTCTGGATTAACACGGCAGAATTTGGGCACCTTCAATGGAACTACTCTGAATTTATTCTAATAGAGCCAAAGGCATGGTTTTGCCTTCAGCTTTTTGTCTTAGTTGATAAAGAATATCCGCTTGCAGTATTGTAAAGTAAGAATTGTAGTAACCTCCTAAATTTGTGGCATTTCAGAAAGAAATTGAACATGGTACACCGTAAAAGAAAGCCACACAAAAGATCTTGTTTTGTGTAAGATTTTAAAAGACAAAACCACAGCCTTTAAGACTCTAGTATCTTTAAACAGTAAAAATGTCATTTGTTTAAAAATACCCTCAAACAAACAGAAAACAAACCCTAAAACTGGGACATGATTTAACTTAATTATAAGCCTTGAACAAGGAAACAGCATGTTCTCAGAATACTTACTTAATTACAGCATTGTTTTTAGGTTGAGGGTTTTTTGTGTGTGTGTTGCTCCAGTCAGTCTTCAGCAGAAGGAATAAAAGGCAAAGAAAACACGGAAGTACAGTAAACATCTTGAAATGCAGTTTCCTTCTTACTGGGAAGCTACCACATGACTTGCTGAAAAAGATTCATTAAAAAAAAAAAAAAGCCAGCTTGCAGTTGTTCATTGGTAGCATTAAAATTTAATTCTCTGTAAATCTGCTTCTTGAGAGATAATATCCTACAAGATCTCTCAAGCATCACTACAGTGTTTAAATGCTTTTAGTGTTGAGTGAATTTAAGGAAAATACACCAAGTTGTTTGATTGTCCTGAAAGCATTACTCATTGACAGACGCGGGCAGAAACAGAACAAGGCTTTCTACTATTAATGTATAATGATTTTATAGTCTGAACTTTTAAAGGTGAGAAGATACTAACTTTGACTGAATTCTACAACATGCAAAGCCAGTTGGGGTAACCCAATCTTCTACGATGACAGTCTTTTTTGCCAGTCTCGCTAGAAGATGGCTGGGAGTTGAACTGAAATGGGACCTGCATTTCAGCTAGTCAATATATTGAATGTGGGTTACTCAGTCTTAAAAATACACACACAGTAACTGTTCCAACAGCTACATTTCTGCACAGAGTTCTGCTGCCAAACAGTATGGGTCCCAGCCATCCCTTTTTGAAGCTGGTAGATTTTTTTCAGAGTGACAAAAAGATCAGCTACTGTTTCTCTCCTTGGACCGGTATTTCTCAGAACTGTGCCCCCCTGTGCTCTCACAGGTGAAAAAATCACCTGTGGTTATATTGTGTACTTTTTCTTTATATGGTAGATGAATGGAGGGACTGGCATTTTTATGTTGTATTGAAACGAAGGGTTGTCAGCTCAAAAGGATTTGGATCAGAAATATAAAGGCATGTTGACCATGCTCAGTAATGTTTTAAACACATATCTAGGGTGGATTCTTATG